GTATATATACTGTATAGGTTCTGCATTCTGTTTTGTGTTTCTATTAGTTGTTATACTGCACTGTATGTGCAGCACTTTGGCCAATGGCGGTTGTTTTAAATATGCTATATCAATAAAGTTGACGTGACTTGATCCTTGAAATAAAAACATTTAAAAACGTTCTGAAATTTGACATTTCTTCACATGTTTWGCAGCTTTGTTTATGTCTTGCAAGGGGAGTCCCTGGCCAGAAGCTGTTGCATAAAAACGTTTGGGAATCCCCGGGTCAGAGGATCAAGTTTCTGATTTACCAAGACCCAAAGAATGAGGGCTAAATTACTGCGCAAACTAAAAGATTGTGGTGCGAGTGATCTACTGCTGCACAAACAATAACAGGTGCAAAGCTAGTGCCTGTTGAAATGAGGAGTTTGTTCGACTCACACTGACTGTCACCACAGAGAAAAATGACCCTGATGCAACAGTTTGTCCACATGTCAATCACTTTGAACGTTGACCTTCAACACCCTCAATAACCTCTGAAATATATAACATTTTCTTAACTTCCAATTGTGTGTTTAAAACAACATAATTCACTTTAACATCTTTCCTACTTTTTTAGTTCTATGTGAACATTTTACTAACAAATTACAGCACATATACTGTAGGTAAATTTGTTTTGTTTACCAACATTTATCACAATCAAAAATACCAYAATATTAAACTTACAGTATGTTTAGATTAACTACATACTCAATCAAATTGAATTTATTGTTCCAATAAGGATATTTTTCTTCAGCTATATAAGGAAAACAAGCAGAAAATCAGTAGGGAGTAGTTGGTTGTCACAGTTGCTAAATCTTTTCTCCTAGAAAGCGATGTTACAAAATGTTTTGTGTGAGTTTCCAAAATAATTGTCACAGATTTTTATTTTAGCAGTGTGACATCTTTCAATGAGAAGAGAGGACTTATAATGTTTTTCACATCATAATGTAACTTTTGATTATTTTTGTGATAATTTTGAATTGCCTTTAAACAATGGATTTAAAATTAGACACTTGTTGYCATTTGAAAGTTAAAAGGCAGAGCTACAGTTAGGATGTTATTTTTCTTTGCCAGACTATAACATGCTAGCACAGCTGCCAGCAAAACCCCTGTCAGAACTGGGACGCAGACATGGGCCCTTTTCTTTTCAGATGCAGACAACTTGAATCTGTCTTTATTCAGAATTTTGACAAGTTCTATCAGTTTATGGCAAATAAGATGTTGTAACCTATATAAAATGGTTTTTTATCACCTAAGTTATTA